CAGCTGTAGGCTGTTATGATAGGAAAGTGAAATACAGCTGTGTCTGAGACCCCTGTGCATCAAACGGGTCTCTATGAATAATTGTTGGTTGACACTCCCTTCTGTGCTACTGTTTGTGCTTTCTCTGTAGTCTGATTTACTCAAAGAGCTGTTTTGATTTATCTGATCTACAAAAGAATAGAAGTTGCTTGTAAATCTATGTCCCCATGCTCGATAGTTTGCTCACGCTTTAAAGACATATAACATATCTTCTTACAAAAGGTTTCTTGCCCTTTTAATCAGAAGGGGAACAATAATATTTCTGTTTCTCCCAGGGGCAACTTGGTAGCACCCAGAGCCAAGGACTAGTGCCTTGCATTGTGTTTGTCCTGAAGGAGATGTTACCAAATTATCACAAATGGCGTTACAACTCTCATGGAGTGAGAGAGAAAATTGGTAAGGATGCTGGGGGTGAGAAGGAGGAGGAGGGGATAAAAAGGATCATCTGTCTTTGCAGAGAGGATGTGTGAATTTTTACTCCCTTTTTTATCATGCCTTTTCTAGCTACCATATGGGATTTGATTTGTATGTATTGCTAGATGCTGTGATTTGTCTGAAAATATTAGGAACTAGGCAACATATCTTCCTGAAAACTGAATAATCCATTTCATCTCTGTTTCAGGATGCCTTATCCTGCAGTTGATCCATGCTATACTGAATTTATGCCCTGAAATGGATCCTCGCAGCAGGTAAGACAGGTGGTGGATTTCAGCTCTGCCCTAGCCTGGCTAGTTGCTATTTTTTGTTTCAGTTTTTGAGTGTATATGACTAGGAATGAACTGGGGTGGTTGTGCTGTGCTGGTTCCAGCTCTTTTCAGTGTTACTGATTACACGAAGCGTGGAAGAGGATTAGGGACATTTTTTTTTTTTAGAACAGCTGGTGAAGAAAGAGAAACCAGTTAAATAGATTTCCTGGGACATACAGCCATCCACTTTCCTATTCAGTGCATCCACTCTGAAGAAGGTAGAAGGGAGACTAAAGCAGGGGTCAGGGGGGTTGTAGAAATTAAGAGGTTACTTTGTGGTAGTTTTTTAAGTGTTAGGTGGGAAAATCCTGCAAGTGCTCCTAGTGATGATGTCCTGTGTTTGTGTCTCCCAGCAATGCCCCCAGCCTCCAGTCCCTGTGCATCTTCAGCCTGGCCAACACCGAAGCAGGACAAGCTGTCATTAACATCATGGGAATTGGTGTGGACACTATCGATATGGTAATGGCCTCCCAGTCTAGCAGGTGAGTTGTGTGGTTCATTTCAGTGGTGTGAGGAAAGAAGCAAATGATAATTTTTAAACTTAACTGTAGTTGATTGCATTTAAGAGGGAGTCAGCTCAGCAGCTTGCCATGGCAGCTGCCTTGGATGGTCTGGAGGAACAAGCCTTGTTTGTTCCAGGTCTGTACGTAGTCTTTGGTGTACAGTATCCATTTCATGCAGTTGTTTCAGTTTTATATTTCTAAATGACATTTGGAGCATGCCAGTGGGTGTAAATGTGTTCGATTGTTTAACATTTGCTAGCAGTTACATTTTTTTTTTAATTAAAAATTCACTTGAATGCAATTTATATGTTTGAGTGAGTGAATTGGAAGCGAGATTAGAGCCAATGTTACAAGTTCTGTGTCTTCAAGTAACATCAGAGTTCCAGTGAAATTATGCTCATTAATAAATTGTAATAAAGCTTGAACTCTAATTTTGGAAGTACTAGGGGGATGATCAGTCTTTTCAGGGTGGTTCTGAAAGCAGGTTGAAGTACTCTGGAAGTATTAAAGATGTCTGCAGTGTTGAGTGCCTTAAATTCCTTATACAGCTTTCACCGAGGCTTGAATCTTTTGCTGTAGCTGTGGTTGAATCTCTCTCCTTTCCTCTGTTCTCTTTGCCTGGCCAACCTGACTTGACACACCCAGCCAAACTAGCTAGCAGATTGTTCCTGAGAAAGTCTGCCAGTTTTTTCTTTCCAAACAAGTCTGGAAGGGAATCAAAACTTGTTAAGGAGAAAGTGAGACCTGTTTGAGAAACCTTTTTGGCTTCAATGTCTCTTCAGAATGTTTATCTGATAAGGAAAAATCTTAGGAAAATATCAGACTTAGAACCAGTTTTATCTCTTCATTCACTTTTGGTACGCTATAATTTCTGAGAGATTAATTCCATAAATGTTTCTCCCTTTGTTTTAGCACATTTTAAATCTCTGTATCCCAAAAAGGGGGGAAAAAAAAGTGACAATTGGCTGTAAGGCTATTTTTCTTTTTTGTTTGATGTTGAAAACTTGGAGCTGCATAGACAATATTTTTTGTGGATTTGGAGGGGGGTTTTATTTCAGCAGTTTTTATGTGGTGACATGTCAGTCTGAGTAAAAATGTCTTACAATCCCCAACTGACAGAGTACAGAATTTCATCTTTGGATGTTATGCAAGTAATAAATGTCAGCCATCAACATGGTTACTTACTTTGGTTTCTTTTTGGAATCCCAGTGATGAGTCCCAAGGCCAAGGTCAACTGCTGATCCAAACAGTTAAGCTGGCATTCTCGGTTACCAATAATGTCATCCGGTTGAAACCCCCCTCCAGCGTGGTGTCTCCATTGGAACAGGCACTGACTCAGCATGGTACGTGTTTCTCCATGGGGGCAGCCTGGGAAGCTGGGTTTTTTTTTGGTTATTTGCAAATAATCAGTATGTGCCTCATTACAAAGAGCAGTTAAGATTTCAAGGTACCAAGAGGTGGTTTCTACTGATGGGAGGAGGCCTGTTCTCTGTTCTCTAAGGCATTCTTCTCCTTTGGGACAGCTGCTGAAGCATTAAGCAAACGTGGCTAATTGTTTGCTGCTTTGTGATGAGATGGGTCTAATTACAGAATACAATAAATCAGCTGCTATTAATACCTCTGGCTGGGCCCATGCCTTGTTATCCTGGAAGAATGACATAGTTCTCACCTTCTGCTATGGAAGTTATTATTTGGTGAATTTGTTTGTTGAAACAATGGAAAGTTATTTGGTAAATAGTTACATCTTGTTGTGGTTTCTTCTCTTTGATTTTAATTGTGTTCTCTCCAGGTGCTCATGGAAACAATCTTATTGCGGTCTTGGCCAAATACATCTACCACAAGCACGACCCTGCGCTCCCGCGCCTGGCCATCCAGTTGCTCAAACGACTGGCGACGGTAAGATGAGACACACACGTGCTCCTGTGCTTCTCCCCGTGTGACTGATTCCACCACTGAAGTCCTTTCAAGATCATTTCTTCAGACTTTTATTTTGTATCAGGGAGCTTAATGCAAGTCAGTTGAAGGCAGTGTGGACATTAGTACATTAAAAATCACTTAAAGGGGCCCTTAATTTATATCAGGGAGCTTAATGCAAGTCAGCTGAAGGCAGTGTGGACTGAAAGCTGCAAGTTAGGGTACATTAAAAATCACTTAAAGGGGCCCTTAATTTTTGAACGTAAACTTCTGCTGTGTTGGAAGTCACTTACCATCTCACTGAGAGGCTTTACTTGATAGAGGCGTTTTCTGCAAAGTATTTGCACATCCAGTTGATCTTTTTCCACTTCTTTCAGCAACTTTCTCAAGTCATACTCTTAAATACATCACCTTTGTAACTGGAACTTTTACATCTTACTGAGAATCCTGTTTAAGTATTTATTGGGAGCTTTCAACTTTGCCTTTTTGACTTACTCTTTTTGACTACTATACTTCTGAAAATGTATTTGCAGTTTCAGGGGAGATTTAGGTTAGATACTAGGAAGAAAAGTCACTTACCATCTCACTGAGAGGCTTTACAGGAGTGGGGTGTTTTCTGCAAAGTATTTGCACATCTGGTTGATCTTTTTCCACTTCTTTCAGCAACTTTCTCAAGTCATACTCTTAAATACATCACCTTTGTAACTGGAACTTTTACATCTTACTGAGAATCCTGTTTAAGTATTTATTGGGAGCTTTCAACTTTGCCTTTTTGACTTACTCTTTTTGACTACTATACTTCTGAAAATGTATTTGCAGTTTCAGGGGAGATTTAGGTTAGATACTAGGAAGAAATTCTTTACAGTGAGGGTGGTGAGGCACTGGAACAGGTTGCCCAGAGAAGCTGTGGTTGCCCCATCACTGGAGGTGTTCAAGGCCAGGCTGGATGGCTATTTGAGCAACCTGGTCTAGTGGGAGGTGTCCCTGCCCATGGCAGGGGGGTTGGAACTAGATGATCTTTAAGGTCCCTTCCAACCCAAACCATTCTATGATTCTATGATTCAAGCATATAAATCCAGCTCTGGGTTTGTTTATTTCAAGAATCATTATTCCAAACCTGTTTTTCTCTTTGTCTTTTCCAGTTTTGTCATAACCCTTGAGAAATAAGGTGTTGAGAAAGAGGTGAGGGATAGAGTGGAATTGCCAAAGAGGAAAATTTGCATCACTTTGCAAGTTTCTTCCTGCTTAATGACAACAGCTTACTTTTAAGTTCCCTCACATATGTTCAGAGATTCAATATGAAATATTTTGGAGTTTCACTATGAGATGCAAATCACTTTTTGTACAGAGAAGGAGCATTCTGTAGAGTTTGGTTCTTCCTGCTTCTGATGTTTCTTCCCCGTTGCAGGTTGCTCCCATGTCTGTTTACGCCTGTCTCGGTAGTGACGCTGCCGCCATCCGCGACGCCTTCCTCACCCGCCTGCAGAGCAAGATCGAGGACATGCGCATTAAGGTCATGATACTGGAGTTCCTCACGGTAGCGGTGGAGACACAACCTGGGCTCATTGAGCTCTTCCTGAACTTGGAAGTGAAGGATGGCAGTGACGGGTCAAAGGTAGAATGGGGGATACTCGCCCAAGGACTCACTAGTCTTTTATTGTCTTATGGCACTAGTCTCTAAAATCTCATAGTTCTTACATGTAACCAGATGTTGAATGTAAAGATATATGCAGCTTGTGCTTCCAGCAGTGGATGTGCTGCTATCGCAGTTCCACTTTTCCCTGTAACCAAAGAGAAACTTTCCCCAGTGTTTCAAGGTAGATACTGAGTTAAAATAAGAACATCTATTCTGTCAGACCAAAGATCCCTGTGGCTCACTCTCTTGACCCTACCAGCGGGCAGTCAGTGAGAAAGCTGAAGATTGAGGTACAGCAGACAATATCCATTTTCCAGAATACCCACTCTGGTCCTTTGCAGTTCAAGGTCTTCTTGGGTTGAGACCTTTTAAAGGCACTTGGTCTTACTAAGTCTTAGCTTTGCTCATCTTTCATTCCTTTAAACATATTATTTTTCTCTCCTGTGTTATGACTACATTCCTTGTAGTCTTATACGAAATATACGACAGCATCATGTATTCAAGATTTATTTGTCTGTGTGTTGTTAAGTGGAATGAAGGACATTCTGCTTTAATAGGAGCCAACACCGTGGTTCTGTGGCGATGTAACCTCTCTCGTTTCCTTTTGCTTTAGGAATTCAGCTTAGGGGAGTGGAGTTGCCTCCAAGTAGTCTTAGAGCTGATAGACTCCAAACAACAGGAGAGGTACTGGTGCCCTCCCCTCTTGCATCGTGCGGCCATTGCCTTCCTGCACGCTCTGTGGCAGGACCGTCGAGACAGCGCCATGCTAGTTCTGAGGACAAAGTGAGTTGTTGTTTCTCTACAAGGCATTTTCCTTCCTTTTTCTGTGGTTCATCAGACTTTTCAGGGACATTTGCATCTTAGTCTTTGTGTGCCCTGGTAAAGGTTATGCAGGGTATGGGCTTTGAACTTAGTCTCTTAGGAAAGAAGATGAGAAACCTCTGTGTGCATGTTCAGAAGCAGATATGTTTTGTTTTGTTTCTTTTGTACAAAGCTATATAAGCTTGTATTTACCAAAGCATATTTTCTATTAAATTTGCAACAGTCAAAATGCTACTAGGCATGTGGTATTGGGGAGATAACTGATTTTACTTCTGTATATATATTTTAGGCCAAAGTTTTGGGAGAATTTAACCAATCCTCTCTTTGGGACCCTTCCTCCGCCTTCAGAATCGTCAGAGGTGAGTTACATCCAGACAAAATGAAGGTAGTTATGTATTTCCCAGAACAGGTTTCCAAGTGGTGTGTGTGGCTCTTCCTTCTGCTTGTTTAAACACGGGCAGGAGATGGGGTGAACGCTTTCGGGCTTTGCAGAGGTCTATGGTCAAATGACATAACTATTGCTATTATGGGAGAAATGAGTATCAGTCACTGGAAGTGGATGGGTAGGGATAAATCCAAATTCCACTCACCCTGCAGAGCTAGAGGCTCAGATTTTGTTTTTTATTTTTCCTCTTTATAGCTCAGTGTCTTGGATACCTGTGCCTTAATCATGAAAATCATCTGTTTGGAGATCTACTATGTTGTCAAGTGAGTCTTTGGTAGTCTCTCCTTCATCCCTATACTTCTTAATTATCTAAACTTAAGTCTTGATAAACCATGCAGGCTTTGAGGGACAAAGTACATGTAATCCTGTGGGATAATGTGGGAGGAACAGTGATTTATAAATAGATCACAAATGTGCATTTGAGATTCTTGCAATCACAAATGGCGGGAGTGTTTCTGCAGCCTGTAGGTGAGAATGTTTGTATTTTCCTTCTACCCTGGAATGAGAATATACAGTATTTATTAAAACTAATTCTAAACTAAGCTAAGTACACCTACTATAGTGATTGATGAATAACATTTTAGTAGTTTTCTCCCACTTATTTTGTTTCCCTGGACATAACTGCCCTTTAATGTTAAAAAGTTATGATTAGCTAAAATCTCTGCTTAAAAAAAAATAAAAATAATCATGGATTTTCTTCTGGGATCATGCTTTTCCTTCACATTTGATGCAAAAAGTGGGATTCCCTGCACAGGTCTAATATATGGAATAACCTTCACTTGCAAGCTGTGTCCTTGGCTTTCCTACTCAAATCTCAGAAGAAGTGTTGTTTTCTGACCAAAGAATAAATGAAGATAACTTCTCCTCTTGGTTTGGTCAGGGGCTCGCTGGATCAGTCCCTGAAAGACACGCTGAAGAATTTCTCCACCAAAAAGCGCTTTGCCTACTGGTCAGAATACGTGAAGTTACTGGCGTATCACGTGGCAGAGACAGAGGGCAGCAGCTGTGCCTCCATGACAGAGTATCAAATGCTCATCTCAGCCTGGCGGATGCTGCTGATAATCTCTACCAGCCATGTAAGAACTACCTTTTATCTTCTGTGATAATTTGAAATCAACATTTTGAAGAATACGGTGTTGACTCCTCGGGGCCAGCTAAGCCATAATGAAGAATTCACTGGTTTTTCATTCAATTTTCTTGTATATGTGGTCACAGCAAGATGGCACGAGCAGGGTGCAAGAGGTTAGAGTAGGTGGTGTTTTGCCATTTGATCAAAACGAGCATATTGTCTGTCTGTTTGAGCAGAGGAGGGGTGTAGTAAATAATTTTTATAGCAATTCTAAGTACTTCTGTAATCCTGAAGAGAGATTCCCGAGTCAAGTGAGGCAGGGATGCACCGTTAGGGAAATTAGTCATTGCCAACTGCTTGTCAACTGTTAATGTAATACTTCAGTGGTTTCTGTAAAACTGCATCACTCAGGAGCTGTAAAAGTTGGTGAATTCTTAAAGTAAAAAATCAAAACAGTAGCTTGATGTTAGACTGCTAAGAAGGTGCATCTTTTGTTGTTGTTGATTGATCTTTGTCTTTGTGGACCTCAGGCAGATATAATGCACTTGACTGATCCTGCAGTTCATCAGCAGTTGTTTCTGGATGTGCTCGATGGGACCAAGGCTTTGGTAGGTGCTGCTTCCTGTCAGTTCTTTAATTTCCAAATTGCTCATCTCTTTTGTAGTCTGAGGAATTCCATTTCTGCAGCTCCTTGGCATCCTACGGTTTTTTAGATCCGTGAAATTGGGCTGAAACAAAGTCTCTCTCCCTGAAACGATGAGCTTCTTACAAATCTCTGTTTTGTACATGTTATTCTTGGCATCACTGGGTGAACCTGACTCTGGTTCCCTCAATGCTGCTGAAGAACAAACCTGGTCATTTGGTGGTGGTGTTTGGGCTGGGGATTTCTTAAGTGTTCATACATGTGACTGTTGCCACTGTAACTCTTGCAGTATTTCTTCTTAGCTTCTAGTTCCCATGTCAGTGTCCTGCCTGCAGCTGGGGTCTATGCTGTGTACCCTCCTCCTGATCCTGCTCAAGCAGTGGAAGAGGTAGGTATTTTGTGAATATAAAACCTTTGGAGTTTATAATAAAGTGTTTTGTACTAGTGAGATTACCTTAGTGATTTGGGGAGGAAACTGAAGCCCTACAGAATTCTCTTGGGATGGCAAATGTCATGGCAATGGTTGTTGCTGAAATATCTTGCAGTAACACATTCATGGTTTGGCTTCTTGCTTGCTGGTGAAAAGTGTATCAAAAAGCTTTTGTGATAGTCTTGCATTCTCACTGTACTATGCGGTGTCTTTAGTGAGATCCAGGTGCTGATTTAAATGTTACTTGGAAGAACTGCTTTTATTTGTGTGGATCATATAGATTATGATCCACACAGCTCAGTCGAGCCAATATATTTATTGAGGGATCTTGTCTAATCTGAAGAGCTCTCCCTTTTTGTTGTCAGCGAGTTGAGTTCTGTGGATAAAATCATAAACTCCTTGACGCAGATCCTGGAGGGAGTACTACAGGCAGATCAGCAGATGATGGAGAAAACCAAAGCCAAAGTATTCTCTGCTCTTATCACTGTGCTGCAAATGAAGGAGATGAAAGGTGAGTGGTGTATGTGTGAGTGTCCAGAGCAGGGCTGCTGTGGCTGAATAAACCCTGACACTAATGTTTCCAAGATAAAAATGTGTATAGTGTTGGGAGTAGTTGAGGATGCTGAATGTAGTCATCAACCTGTGGGACTTCTCCACTTTTTCTTGCTTGTTTTAGAATGAGATGAAGTTTATCATTCACAGAATGTGCATGTTTTTCCTTTTCTTGTCTTTCCCCAGCAATCTGTGTTTGATCAGTTTGATAGAGACAAGACAGGGTTCCCGTGTGTTTTTGAAAATAGCTCAGTGGGTGTGGGAGGGACACCCTAGTAATGATGCCATCTCACAGAGTGGTTGTAGAGCTCAGATTCTGACATGAGTTTCTAGTTCAACAAAAGATGCAAACAAAAAAAAAAAGCTTTTGTTACAAATCAGCGAAATGAGTCTGGTCATTACTGCTTGTGGGGTATCTTACATTCCAGTAGCACTTGAAGACTTGATAGAGACAAGACAGGGTTCCCGTGTGTTTTTGAAAATAGCTCAGTGGGTGTGGGAGGGACACCCTAGTAATGATGCCATCTCACAGAGTGGTTGTAGAGCTCAGATTCTGACATGAGTTTCTAGTTCAACAAAAGACTCAAACACAAAAAAATCTTTTGTTACAAATCAGCGAAATGAGTCTGGTCATTACTGCTTGTGGGGTATCTTACATTCCAGTAGCACTTGAAGACCCTCAGTGGAATCTGGGCAGTATTTCTTTGTACAACACATATAAGGGTAACTGTGGTGTTGAGAACTGTATCAGCTTACCCTTCTGTGTAGTCCTTGTCCCCCTGCTTGGGCTCTGCACACCCATATATTTTGGAAAATGAATAGAAAGTAGAGCACTGGGTTGGTTTTAAACGTTTTTCTTTGCTGTTGGATTTGAGCTTCCAGTCATGCTGGTAAAAGGTGGTGCAATTTATTGTAATAGTTTTGATGGGAATGTAGTATTTAAATGGACTCATATGATATAGACTGTACCCACTGGCCAGTACCAGAAAGCTGATAAAAATGCTGTAGTGAGCAGTTAGGGAATAATCTGTCCATAGCAGTGCTTGCCTTGAAATGTTATGAGCTTATATGGCCTCTTGGGAGAATGGCATGTTTTTATTACCCAGATGACTGTCTAATCCCTTGTTATATCCTCCTAGACCTTATCATCTAACCTAGTCAGTTCCTCACATTCTGTTTTGTAGGTTTTGAAATGAAAACAGAATAAATACTACCTCCAGGAAATGTGACCCAGCGATGTTATCAGTTAAACTGGAAACCTCAGTATGAGGATTGTGTGTTAATTGTTGTCTGCTCTGTGTGTGTCACAGTGAACGAGATCCCTCAGTACTCCCAGCTGGTGCTGAGCGTGTGCGAAACACTCCAGGATGAGGTCATTGCACTCTTTGATCAGACTCGACACAGCCTGACCTTGGGCGATGCTGCAGATGACAAGGACAGCATGGAAACAGATGATGCCTCTCGAGTTAAACACAAGGACCAGCGAGATGGGGTAAAGGACCTGTTCATCTGCTTTGCAGCCATGATTTTTTTCTCTAGACAGAAGTTCCATATATGTTTGGAACAACTTTCCCTTGCAGCCTGCTCCTTCAAAGGAAGTTTCAGCAGTTTTTATTTCAGAATTACTGTGTCTTTTTGGCATGCGTCAGTCTGGGAAATTGGCTGTTGCTGCCTCTCTTTCAGATCTGTCCTCAAAACGTTGTCACAATTGGTAGTACAGCCAGGAAGTGTGCAGAGTGTAGCATGAGGAATACCAAGTGCCTTCATTTATGAGAATGATTGAACTTTAGGTTGTGTTAGTAAATGCTTACAGGATTTTCTTGGTATCCGTGTCAAGTCTATACCTCCTTCTCCTTTCCATGTCACTGCAGGTGTGTGTTCTGGGTCTGCATCTGGCTAAAGAGCTCTGTGAAGTTGATGAAGATGGAGACTACTGGCTACAGATTACTAGGAAAGTCCCTGTGCTTCCTACTATCTTTGCCGCGTTGGAGATCAGCCTGAGAGTTAAACAAAACCTTCACTTCACAGAGGCCTCCTTACATTTACTGCTGACCTTAGCAAGGACTCAACAGGTGAGAGATGCAGGGAAATGAGAACATATTGATATAAGTTTTTAATAGGAACTGTATATCTTGTTATGCTGTTTGCAATGCAGCAGAAAAATGATCTATAAATAAAGGGGTTTTTTAGAAGCTGGTGAGCAGTGGGGCCCGTATGTGCGCCTGCTTAGTATGCCTTGTTCTTCTCCATAATGGGATGTCTCAGATGGAAGAGCTGAGCCAGCCAGAGCAGACCTGTAATTTAGAGCAGGCACTTTCACTGAATCTATTCTTCTGCAATGCAAATCATCCCCTCTAGTTAAAACAGCATTAAGTGTTGGAATCTACTTTCTCATTAGTTGCGATAAAGCATTATTTATCTGTTACATATTCAACTTGTGGGAGGCTTTAGGCGGAAGCAAGGTTGTTCCGAAGCCAGCCCTTTTCAAAGATTATACTTGTACCAAACCAGGTGATAATAAACTGAAATTCATAGTACAGTTATGCAGGTTAGATTTTACTGCAAGAACAGAGTTGCTTTTCTTGATACTGAATTTTTAAGAACATAGAAGTGGGTGTAGATGAAAGTTCTCTAAAAGGGTGGTGACGGTGCGAAGGAGAGAAATATCTAATGCAAAGTGTTTCTTTAGTCTCAGAGAGGAGAGACACACATGGATTTTAATAGTAGATTGTTCTGTGCCTTGCAGGGAGCAGCAGCCGTGGCTGGAGCTGGTGTCACCCAGAGTGTCTGCCTGCCCCTCTTGAGCGTGTACCAGCTCAGCAGTAACGGAGCCATTCAGGTGGGTGCTGCTTCCTCGTGGGTGGGAAGGTGCTAGAAGCGTTGCTGTGCCCTGCTGTGCAGTGAGCCTTCCCAGTCTGGGAGGACAACAGCCACCACAAGGGACAGGACACTTCCAAAATGGTGTGAAGGGTTTGTGGCGTGTGCCGCACAGGGCAGCAGTGTAAATAACTAATGAATTTTTGTATCTGATTTGTTCAGACATCTGCTTCCTCTCGCAAGTCGTTGGATGCCCCCTCTTGGGCTGGGGTCTATCGTCTCTCCATGTCACTGATGGAGCGCCTTCTTAAAACGCTCAGATACAACTTCCTGACAGAGGCACTGGATTTTGTCGGTGTCCATCAAGAGAGGATTCTGCAGGTATGTCACATATTTCCTCTGTGATGCTTTGCTCGGTTTCTGTGTTGCAAAAGCAACGGAAACATGTCAGAAAGTGCAGAAGCTTTGAAAAGAGGCTCCTGCCTCAGAAGAGTTTATAGTAGAAATAATGCAGTAGTGGGAAGAGGAGGATAGAAAATTCAAGCCATGCAGTCAGGCAGGGACAATTGCTGTGATACTTGTTAGAGCTGGGCAGTCACCAGCTGGTGACTCTTGGGGGCTAGAACTTTGCTAGAGGTGCTTAATCTGCCTACCCAACACGGTAACACAAATGAGAGTTTGATGGGAGCTCACTTTGTGGCATGAGAGCTGGTTTCAGTGGTAGTTTCAGCTCAGCCTTGCTCAAGTAATGAAAATGCTGTGGTCAGGGTTTAGTCACCATTCAGGTTGGCAAGCTCTCCTGTCCTGCAATACTGAAGTATCTGCACTGGCTGGATTGTGTCAGTGCAGACCTGCTGGAGAGTCCTGTTTGTGTGTAGGTGCTGAATTACCTGTTTATAAGCTTTCTGCCTGGACAAAGAGCTGTCTTCTATGGCAGTGCAGTTCGTGAAATGCATTGACCTCTGACTAAGAATATAAAGTTTTCTGAGTCTGACCCATGTGCTGTGCAGCTACGTTCTTGAATATATTTTCTGTGCCTAAGGGCAGATCCTCTCCATCTTCAGCTTTTTCTTCTAGAGAAAGGAATAGGCTTTTTGGGATTTAACTGTCGTCACCCTGATTTACTTCTCTCTCCTTTCCAGTGCCTGAATGCAGTACGGACAGTACAGAGCTTGGCCTGTCTGGAGGAGGCCGATCACACTGTTGGTTTCATTCTTCAGCTCTCAAATTTCACAAAGGAGTGGCATTTCCACCTGCCACAGCTCATGAGAGACATGCAGGTGGGCATCAGGATACTGCTGCGGGTAGTACATTGCTTTGGAGCGCAGGGATTTGCATGTGTTAAGAGAAAATGGCACTGTATAACCTACTCTTTTAATAGGAACTATTCCTGAGGTCATTTAAATGTCTGTTCTAATCAGTACCTTGTCTGAATTGAGTGAGGAAAGATAACTGTTGGGGACAGACAGATGGTGGCTTGGAAGAATAACCTGGGGGACTCAGTGTCTTACTCTCAGTTCTCAGTGCTGGGTGACTCAGAGAAAATATTGGGAAATCAAGAGACTGCACTGATCCCTTATGATCACACTGTTCTTTTAACTGAATTTTCTGGCTTCCACCCATGGTACTGAATAGATGAGGTTTGAGCTTTTAAGAGATTTCTCCCTCACCTTATTTATTTCAGGTGAACCTGTGTTACCTGTGTCAGGCCTGTACCTCCCTCCTGCACAGCCGCAAAATGCTCCTGCACTACCTGCAGGTGAGGATGGGGACCCTAAGCCAAACTGTAAGTTAGGAGTGTTGCACGCCCCTGCTCCCTCATCAAAGGCAAATATTATTCAATGTCCAGGCTCTTGGATATTGAATAGATTGCCAGTAATCCTTGTGGTGATTATTGACAATCATCACGAGTTAGGATTTGCATTTCTCCACGGCAAAGAAAAAAAGTGCAGAGTGGTCTGGACTCTGAAAACTCTGGACTGTGCAAAGCCAGTCCTGGAGAAACAGCAGCCTGTGTTTGAAGGGTGCTGCTCTCATTTCATCGCTGCCTCCCCTGCAGCGAGTCGGCTGCGTTGCCGTAGTACTCCATAGTGCCATTAATTAAGCCATTGTTGACCTGTTGTCCTTGATGTGATTTAATTTGTTTAAGAGAGAGTGAGCTCTCGTTCTTGGGGAATCCTTAGATTCCGGAGGTGGAGACGATGCATTCCTACCCATGTGTTAGTTCCGCATGGCTAAGGCTTGGCGTGTTGATTAGAGATTCTTTTTTCTGGAATGTGGAATCTAAACAGCCGCTGCAGCTGCCTCCCTGCAATGCAGTGCCTCCCCTGATGCACACTCTTAGATTCTCATGCTTCTAGCAGGTGACAGACTTTGGGCACTTAATTTCCTTGTTCCTTTTTTTTTTTGTTCATAGCGGGTTTTTATTTTTCCTGAAAGTAGCGCAAAATAATCCTATCTGTATTCAAGCCTTTATTTTTTTTCTTTCTCCACAGACAAAAAATGGTGATTCCCTTCCATCAAGTGTGACTCCACGAGTGCAGCGTAATCCCCAAGCCTCCTCCAAACATCCCAGCCCTGAGTCAGAGGCAGCAGAGCAGAAAGCGCTGCTCACAGTGCAGTACAGCCTCTTGAAAATCCTCAGCAAAACCCTTGCTGCCCTGCGCCATTTCACCCCCGATGTCTGTCAGATCCTCCTTGACCAGGTAGAGAAAGAGGAGAGAAGCTGCTCCCCGTGGGGGGCTGTTTCCAGCATGGCGAGTGATGTTCTGGGTCTATGTAGACCCCACCAGACATCTCTCAGTTGCTCACAAAGCAGGAAGGTAGGACACGAGGAGTTCCCCTTAGGGATCTGTCACGGTCAGTGTGAAAGGAAGGCTTGGCTGAGCTTTTGTGTGGTCTGCACAACAGTGTGTCCGTGTAACTGGAGCAGACTGGGTTTGTATCCGCAGTACATCACTCTTCAGAAAAGGCATCCTCTTGTTATCCTCCTGTGTCAGCGTGACCTGGTGGCTCCAAGTTCAGATAAGGAAGGTTTAAGCCTTGATTCTGGCAGTGTCCTGCTCCAAACTTTTGAATAGTTAACTTCTTTTCTCCTGTGCCTCCAGGTACCCATGCCTGGGCATTTGAAAGCAATCTGGAAACAGTCATTACTTTAAGTTGCCACTTGGTGGCAAGCTGTAGGGCTTGGGAGTTGGAGAAGGTTCATTCATGTGAGGAGAGCCACACGGTCTGGTTGTGCAGTGCTGCACAGAGTGCTCGCTACTGCTCCAGCTGTGTCCTTGAGATTTGGGAAATTACCTCAAAGCTTCCAGTTCTCCATACAAAGAAGGGACTAGGTATTCCCATTACTATGGCAATAGCCTACTCATGGCTGCAGGGAGCCCTCACTCCTCTTTCTGATTCTCCACAGTCGCTGGACCTTGCTGAGTACAACGTGCTCTTCATTCTGAGTTTCGCCACACCGGCCTTTGATTCGGATGTCGCACCTTGCTTTGGGACGCTCCTTGCCACGGTGAACGTGGCCCTCAACACGCTGGGAGAGGTACTAGCCATTCCTCTGCCTGGGAGAGCACGGAGGATGATACTTTGAAGAGTAGGAGTATTTCTCCTTTTCTGCCTCCTGTCTCTAATGCCTGTCTTTTTTTTCCCTCCAAGCTGGATAAGAAGAAAGAACCTTTCCCTCAGGCTGCGGGGCTGAATATGCAAGAGGGAACCAAAACCCTCAAGTAAGTTCCTTGCCATTTGATGTAGCCACGGCCAAGGAGCAGAACCTAATGCTCCTCAGATCAGAAGTTACATTGGTGTAGCTTCAGAGCTGCTCACTCTGATCCCAAGGAGTTCAGGTAGTCCATCGGAAGCTCTCCAAAGCAAGCAGGGATTTTTTTGGGAAGGGTGTGTGAAGCCACCCCATCCTAAGGTGCAGTGTAGAGAGTTGTTTGATGCTTATTTACCAGAATATTTAAATTGGACTTCCCTGATGGCCAGGAGGAGTTTCTCTCCGCAGACCAGAGCTTTTGGGTATCACTGCTTGAGCAGAACATGAACAGTAGCGGTGTTGCCTCGCACATACCCTGTGTGGAGTCTTTTTAGGAGTATTTAACCTTGAAACTAGAGTGTGCTAACTTTTTTGGGGTTCCTGCTGACGTGTGTTTCTTTGCACAGGTCTCTGCTCATGTTTACAATGGAAAACTGTTTCTACCTGCTCATCTCCCAGGCCGTTCGGTTCCTGAGAGACCCAGCTGTGCACCCCCGTGACAAGCAGCGGATGAAGCAGGAGCTCAGCTCTGAGCTGGTAAGGAGCTTGTACCGTCCCTCCTCCTTCTTCACTGTAACGTGTCGGTGGGAGAGAAGGTCGTTTGTCTTTGGCTGCCCAGTAGAGCCCATTCCGCAGCGTGAGTCAGCAGCCTTGGGCATCCTGGGCTGCATGTTCTGGTGCCTGTTCCTCTGCCACCGGCACCTTGTTTGGGGAGGAAAAGGGGTGTGGGTGTTTGGAAGAAGCTAACTCCTTACCTGCTTCTGGTTTCAGAGCACGCTGCTCTCCAGCCTGTCTCGTTACTTCCGCCGCGGTGGTCCCTCTTCGCCCGCCAGCGGGGTTCTCCCTTCTCCCCAAGGAAAGTCTGCCTCCAAGCTGGGTCCCGAGGGGCAGGAGCCTTTGTTTCAGCTGGTGCAGGCCTTTGTCCGGCACATGCAGAGATAGATCCTGTCCTGCCCCCGCCTCCCTCTTCAGGACTTGCAGCGGAACGATCCATCTCCACCGCGGAAGGCACCACCGTTGGCAGAGCTCGTAACAAGGACTGGGAAGGGGAGGGAGGCCTGGTGTGGGCAGTGGTGTGAACCCAGCTGGACCAGCAGCAGCCAGATCCCCTTGAACTCTTGTGACCCAGCAGCAGAGTGAATGTAAGGAGGGCCCAGCGCGGCTCTTCGGCCGTCAGCCCTCATGCACAGCCCGCCCGCTCCACAGCAGAGCACCCGGGCTGGGTACGAGTGCTGAACTCTCAAAACCTTTATTTTTATAGCTTGTACCTCAGCTGGGGAAGCTGTGGCTGGATGGAGAGAGGAGACAAAACTTTCCACTGGGCATTAACTCTGCTCTTAACCCAAGGTGCAATCTGCCTCTCCCCTGCAGTCAGAGTCCAGCTGAGGCACAACCAAGGGATCAGCCAGCAATTCAGAGACCATCTTTCTACTGCTATTTTTGTACTGAGTGGTTCAAGGCAAGATGGTGTATGTGTGCTCACGCCTTCCCTTCGCCCTGCAGTCTGTGTGTTGTGTGTGTTTCTGAAGAGCAAGGCCTCACTCAAGGTTTTTAAGGCAAAATTCCATTGCTCCAGTTCTTGCAGTTTTTTGTAACTGTGCCCTATTTATACTGATATTAAAACCTTTATAGACAGCAGCCGGGTTCATGGGTTTGTGTTGGGCACAGCAGCCTCCAGCACCGATTGTGTGTCCCCCTGTGGAGTTCTGCTGTGTCAGCTGGGCTGAAGCCCCGGCTGAGAGCGATGCGGGGTGTGGGGTGTGAGTGACGATCCAGATCCCGCTGGAAGTGGTTACAATCCAAGGTTGATTCCCTCGGCTTCCCCACACCCACTCCCTTTCTCTTACTCTCACGTTGGGGAACTCGTAGGAGGTTTTAAACGAGCGTCACTATAAAATACTCCTCGGGAATGATTCCTGTGCGCACGATGGCGTGGGCCACGCGCAGGGAGTGCTCTGTGCACAGCCCCAAGCTGCTCCTCGGCCCGTTGCAGCCACCAGGAAGGACACAGGCTCCAGCTCGAGGACAGACACTGTCTACAGTGAAGTTGACTTGTGCTGTTGTAGCTCTCTCAAGTAGATCAACAAACTTTAAAGGCTCAACGTGGGATGGAAACACTAAGAGAAGGTCGGTGATTATTGCTTAAAATAAAACCTGAAATCTAGAGAGACTTTTTGAAGGTAAGAAATCAAATTTCAATGTAGCTGTGAGCTGGTAACCTACCAGTTCTTTCCTAAAGAGACACTTGATTGCTTTACCAGTCAGAACCTTTGTAATCACGATGGTTTTAAGAGACCAGAGCAAGAAAATTAGATTACGTTGCTTGGAGGTTGTTTTTTTTTAATCCTTATAAGCTTAAGTGATGGTGATGCTCTAGCACAATTATATGGATCTAGTTTTACTTGCCCTGGAGGCTTCGGAGAGATTTGAACCAGCTGGGCTGGAGCAAAGGGGTCTTGAATTAGAAGGGAGAGGGGCTCGATGACACCGGTGAGCTGCGGTGGCGGTGAGGGAGGTGCTGTGACAGCCCCAGCAGGGACAGTTTGGATGGGGCTGCCCATAAGGGGAGCTGTGAGTGCAAACGTGTGAGCTGAAGGCAAAGAGCTGCAGAGGGGGCAGCGAACTGGTGCCGGGGAGCTGTGGGGAGTGGAAGCAAAGCCAGATTTCAGTACATCTAAGCAAGGTCAGTGGTGCTTAGGGCTGTTATTTGAGAGCTCTTGTCTGTGACTTTCCTTTTGTTACAGCTTTTGAAGCCAGACGCAGTGTGCTAATTACTGTATTAGTGTTGATAAGGGGTAGAGTGAGACTTTAGGGAGAAGTAACATGTTCTTTCAGTTATTTACTTGAGCAGTAGAGTGAGAGTTTATGGTGCTAGGTGGTCAGTGGTGCCAGACAGCAGAGAGCAGTGGATGCTGTTGGTAACACCTTCCCTTCACACAGCAGCTTTTCAGCCCTGGGTTGTACCTTTACCTGCCCCTCAGGCACCAAGGGGCACAGAGCAGCCTTGGGCACTGTCACCTCTGTAGAGCCTGTAAGATGCAGCACTACATCTTCCCTGTGCTCCTTCCCAACGCAGAGGGAAGGGAGCACCGCTGCCGGAGCAGATTCCTTCTGGCTGTTCTGAGGGAAGAGACACCATTTTCTGCATCATTAACTTGCTGCTGTTTTTGCTAAAGCTGTTCTTCCTCTTTCTTTCATGCACCAGGGAGAGGAATAACAGGGAAACAGGGATGGCACTGGCCTGGGGGAAAGATACAGGTGTAAGGGAAGGAGACGGGTAGAACTGTGGTAGTGGTAACTATGGCAATTGTAAAACTAAATCAGTAGCATGATGTGATTTCCCCATTCCCTTTCATTGGAGTTTAACTAGAAAAACAACACTATTGCTACTCTACAGAGCATTTCAACAGCTGCTTCTCCCAGGAGTTCTTTCCAAGCTGGGTGTTAGGGATGAGGCTTTAGGATTTTAAATTAGCAGCAGATCTAGTTTCCATAACAACACCAAGAGTCTGTTGGATCCAGAGCAGCGTTTCCAGTCTCTCGGCAGCTGAAGTCATTCTGCTGCTCTATTTCTGCTTCAGGTTGAGGAGGGGCTGTCGTTTCCGAGAGTTCCCAAATCTGTAGTACAACTGAGATGTGTCAGCTGGGAAAGGAAACGGCGAGACATGAACAACCTTTGAGGCACGTTGTGGGACAAAGCTGGGACAGGAAGGATGAGCAGCTTCGTTTTGTGTTTACACCCGGCTTCTGAGAAGAGCAGCACCCGGGGCAGGGAGCGAGGGCAGCCCTGAGCCCACACAAGACGCTGAGGCAGGAGCTTCAGGCAGTTTGTTTATTGGCAAATTAAGTGCTGAAAACCATGAGCCCTACATAACACAGGTGCTCGGTGCCCTGTTACATTAGAGTGGTCACGATACCGTCGGGGAAAGTGCAAAAGATCCATAAACAAGCAAAGGTAGTTGTGACATACCGAGGGGAAGGCTGTGAACAGAGAGCTTGGTGCAGGTGAGCTTCTCTTCCCTCCAGCTCCAGTGGAAAACCAGTTACAGGGCAGCGGGAGTCCTCTAGGCCAGCTCTAGCCAAAAAACTGATTATGGGATTAAAAGGCCTACACACCCGAGTGCTCCCTTTGAGCTAAACCAGCACCTCCAAGAAGGGCAGCCTGGATTGTCTGGGGGGTGTGTGTGGCCAAGATGGAGGTGACAGGGAGAGGGACTGTCCCTCACCGCCCGGGGCTGCACCAGCTCTGTTCACGGCGGAGACGGGAGGGGAAGCGTTCGTTAAATCCGTGATCTAGGGTGAAAATAAAGTCAGGCTAAAACATGCCTGGAAGAGACACACTGAAAGAAAAGCCCGGACAATTAACACGGGGAGCAAAGCTTGTAAAAAGGCTTGTAAACTCTTCGCAGTCCAAGAGCAGTTTCTCAGAGGAAATGCAAGCAAGATGCATGGTCCCTTGCACTGAGGTTTGATTTCTGACATACAGACCCTATTTCACAGAGAAATTTCCTTCCAGCTTCAGAGGAGAGTTCTAGCTTGAAGCCACCAGGCACCACGGCAGCGTGTGTGGCTCTGGGGGAGCCCTGCATCGCTGCTCCCCAACAGCTGAGCAAATGGGGGTGGGTTTAACAGCCTCCTCATTCTTAAATTCAGCCTCCTCATCCTAAGAGCTAGTCCCTGTCAGAGGGTTGGTGTGGGACACTGCCCCACGGGAATGCTTGATGGTGGGAGTTCAGGCAATTCTACTGCTGAGGAAGAGAGAGGGCGGGGGGCAGACAGGCAGGAACCCACAGCAGACACAGGGGGTGGGACAGAACCTTGGGGGCAGCGCTGGGGGAGACGACGGGGCTGGCCCCGGGGAAGCCACTGCCATAAACGAGACAAGGTAGGGCAGAAAAAAAGGAATGGAGGGATGTGGTGCCATGGAGGGTAACCTCAAAGCAGGCTGCACTGGGAGTTACCGAATTCAGTCTGGGGTGCCATCAGCCCTTCCCCAAAACCTCACTGTAACAGTTTTACCACTTCTTTCCCACAATTCCCTTATTAGCAATGGAGTGTCAACCCTGAAGAGAGCAATGGTCTCGGATGAAGAAATCCGCATTAGAGGTGCCAGGAGATGAGGGGTGCATTCTGCTCGTACATTCTTCTTCCCGGAGACATTTAACTTAACAGTTCCAAGTAAGTGACAGGAACTTTCCCTTTCTGGTTCCCTCTTTCCCCGATGAGCCAGTCTGGATCCATGCCTGGCAGGCTGTACACAGTGATCATCTGGGGAGAGAAGACAGCCGTGAGACAGGACCTTCCTCTGCAGACAGAGCCCAGAAGTTCAGTCAGGTGGGGACTGAAAGAACACGAACTCCTGGAGTTCATTTAGCAGACATCTGTGCCCCTTCCCTGGAGCCATCGGCAGCTTCAAGAGAAGATCTACAGAAACCTGCTCAAGTGATGTCCCTGTTGCCTTTTCAGTTTCCAAACTGACTTAAGGTATTTTTGCATGATATTGCTCTGTTGTCCCTTCTGAATACAGAAGTTCAGTCTAGTCAACAAAAGAGTTGGCAACTTGATGAATTTCCTTTTTTTCTCAGCCCAGGCCTCCAGCCAGGAGCTCATCCCGCTGCTCTTGGATATGGTACCTGTATTTGAGGGTCACGGTGAAGATACCAAGCACTGGGGTATTTTGTGAGCTGGGTACAGCCAGACTCCAATAGAACAGAAGAGTTATTGGGCTGATGTTATTAAATAGCAAATAGCCATGAGCACAACTCACTGCAACTCAGGGGATACTAGTGTCAAGGAAAAGATTCTATTAGTCCTTCCAAAAAACCCTGGGTTTTTAGGGGTAGGGAAAGTAACCAAGACCTTGCTGAGGGCGGGCAGTTATATTGCAAATCAACACAAAGAAAAACCACCCACCTCATCCGCAAGGAGTGCCAGCTCAGTGCTGTCAGCTGCTTCGTAGTCGTAGAGGACCCTGGCCTTCCGTGTCCCGCTGGCAGGGGGCTTGACTTCGTTGGGGTTCAGGACACCCTCTGCCACCGTATTAGGCACCCCGACAATGGTGGGCACAACTGGAATGGTAGGCACAGCTGGGAGCGTGGCAGCACCAACAGCTGGAGGAGAGGTAGCAGCTGCAGGGGGAGAGGTGGATTCTGTGTTGCCTACGAATGTGCCTGAAAATCTTAACAGAGGAGAAAAAAAAAGCAGAGTTCAGTGAGGCTCTGGTACGAGGAACCAAGGAAGAGCTCTTTCTTTCCGTATTGCACTGATGATGCTCCTGAGTTTAACAGCCACAATGTGTCTACACTGCCCTTGGGGTGGGGAAATGCACTCAGTTCTCAGGTGCTGAGAGGTAATGTTTATCTGCCTGTTTTGATTCCAGTGTCCTGTTGCAGGACTGGCACCAAACTGGCAGAGCACGAGGTTGAATCGTGGCACCAGAGAGGGCTCTGGCAGGTGCCATTCTTGGCTCTGCAGGAGTTCTACTGGGTCTGTTGTGCCATGTCCTTGCCCTGCCTCTCACATGGTCTGTGTTACCCATTTAGTCTGCTAGTTCTTCAGGAAAGGGATGCTCGTTGTTGCTGTTAAACTGGATGCCACAACTGGAGGCTCCCAGTCTTTGCTTTAGGGAGAGACAGTAATGGTGCTCGGCCTCATTTATCTGTAGATACCCCCCTCTGCACTAACAGAGCTCAGCCCTGGCCCTTGTGGTGAGCCTGCAGAGACTGCAGAACCTGGCTGGGGCAGAGAGCTCTTAGAGCCAGTCCCGTGCAAACTCCAGAACCTGGCTGGGGCAGAGAGCTCTTAGAGCCAGTCCCGTGCAACGTCTTACTTACATCTCTCCTTTGGAGCTGCAAGCGTGGAAAAGAACGGAAGAGGAGCAGTGAGTGATCGCTCAGAGGCAACACCCCCTCCCGGGTCAGGCCACCCCACAGATGGGACAGGTCTAACAGACAAACCAGCCCTGCCCGCGGGACGTGCAGCCGCAGCACGGAACCCCTCCCGGCTGCAGCTGAGACTCGCTGCTTGGCAACGGGTTCTGTCTCCCATGCGACTTATTTAATTTAGAGGAAGAATGTTCAAACTCTCACAGCCATTGTGCTTTGAGATAAACGTATAAAACCCAGACCAACCCAACGGCAAAGCCTGCTCTACACGCACTCCCACTGGCACTGGTCACCGTTCTCTAAGCTCAGAAGCTCTGTCAGAGCACGGAGGGGGCTTTAAAATTTCTGCCCAACATTTTAACGCGGGCTGGGGAAGGAGACCTGAGCTGGGGTAGCCAGATGAGTAACTCTTAGAGAAGTAAGAGCAGTCTCTTATCTCACCTGCCCAGTTGCTTCTGCAGCTCCAGCATGTATTGGTAACACTGAGCATAGTAGTTGGTCTGAGACTCCACAAACTCATGGAGACAGCGAAGATGATTCACCTGGAGGGAGAAAGACCATGAGCTGGTCTGTGAGCTGGGGCACAGGAACCCTCTTCCTGCAGCTACGACCTACCCCACGGGAAGCAGACTTGTGTGGGCCAGTATTTAAAAGAGTTACTTGGTTGATTTGAATATTCTCATTTGTTCAGTTTGGGAATGCTGCATAGGCCCAAGGGTGATCCTGGAGAGGAGGCTGCTCCTGGCACTCTAGCCATGCCCATGTGGCTAGTCCACAGCTCTACTGAGGGAAGAACAAGATTTTTCTGGCTCAGAAGCATTTTGAGGGCTGCAGAACTGCAGGTGTCACAGCGGCAGTGCCTGCTCGTGCTTCGTTACGTTTTCAGTTTGAACATTCCAGGTTTTATGAGGAAGTTGCTGCAGCCTCCAAATTTATGACCCCTTCTGGACGGAGCTCTAGCATCCTCTCGGTGTTCTTTGAGAAAGGAACCAAGGGTCTCTGTAGCCCCCCAGTTACCAAGGAAGACTCACGTGTGTGCTGCTGATCCCCTCCAGCAGGAGACGTGTCACCTCCGCCTGTCGATCGAACTCGGTCTGCGTGAGCCTCAGCTCATGCTCTGCCTGCAAAACAGGACGGGGTGTTCCAGGTGGCACAAGGCAGGGACCCCTGCTCTGCCTCTTCCCACACCCACCTCCTCCAACCAACCCCCCTTGTGGCACTGAGACAAGAGCCCTGGTGGCTCAGTCGGATCCACGTGCACCTGGGACACTCAACACCAGGCACAAGACACCCTGGGAGAGGATCCCAGAGGCCTCTGGCTGCATTTCAGCTCGATTCCTGCTTGATCCTGCACTGAATCACTGCAGATCATGGAACAGCAGCATCAAGCTAGGAAGCTCCCACAAGACTAGAACATGAAGATGGAGAGGCTTTGTTAATCCAGAGGTATGTGGAAACCAGTCCCACGCCAGCACCCATCCTTTTATCACCTCTTGTAGGACTTGAGCTGGACCAATGCTGAGTCAGTGCTGCTCATCTCTGTCCCCTGCAAAGGTAACACTGGAAACAGGACAGTTCCCAGGGTCAGCAGCCTGAGTCTGTTCCCAAATAGAGCTGTGCAGCTCTGTTAAACCCCTCTCTAGGCCTAGAGACACAGCAATGTGAGAACCTCCCTAAATTTCTCTCCAAAATAGCATTTTTTTTTGCCAGCATCCTTTTTATCGTCTCAGGAAAAAAGGCTTAGGGCAGAGAGCATTCACCAAATGGCTGTTACACTCAACTGCATCTTTCCTCGATGAAGATGAACATCCCAACATCTACCCAAGGCTCTCCTTTGAAGCTAGGAACTTGTCTGGAGTCAGGAGGAGTTAAACAGGGGTTAACAGAAGGCAGCTACACAGCAGACATTGGGGAGCCAGAGACAGACTGACACTGGAGACCCTATTTACCAGGCAGAGGGAACATCTCTCCCCCTCCAGCAAACATTGTATTTGCACTGGGGCAGTTTTGCAGCACCGCAACACCCAGGGGGATCCTTGCAGCGAGAAGAGCTCCAGAAGTGGTGGAACCACCAGATGCTCTGTCCCCTCCCCGCTGCCAGAGGGAATGGGGTGACAAGCAGGCACACTTGTTCTCTCCAGCACACGTTGTTCCTTAGCACCAAGCGGAACACACCAGCTCCCTCTCAGGCTGCGCTGTGACCGATCGCACAGAAGAGCGATGAACACTCAGCTACAGGTCGCTGGATGGAGAGGAGTGTGGGTTCTGTGTCCTCTCCCCCTTCTCCAGGAGGGTGCAGCAATAGGAGGGGTGCCTGCCATGCTTCCTCCACGGCACCAGTTCTGTGCCAGAGCAACTTTTGCCACTTTGGAAACACCCTGGATGTTCTGGCACAGGAGCAACTTGTCTGGAATTGGCCCCAGAGAGCTCACCCAGACAGGGTGACAGTCTGGGAGCAGAGGCCACACGGCTGGTGTTTCTGAGCAGGGTGACCCCAGAGGAGACCCAGCCTCCCCAGCAGGACAAGCTGGAGGAGACACCCCTCATCTGGTAAGAGCGTTACTGGTACTGCCCTGCAGCTGGGCTACAACAAAGGAACGCTTTGACGGTCTTTTAATCAGATTTGTCTATTTTAAGCTACAACTGATCTATTTTCTTCCATCCTCTGTATGGAAGGGATTATTTAAAGGAGAAGGGGGGATATAACGGGAAATACCAGCGCAATGCCTGCAGATTCCTGCTCCAGTGAGCTGAGCCCAGGCTTTGGGAGCGGCAGAGCTATTTGGGACTTGTGACAGGCAGACCCAGCTCCTCGGGCACCGCCTGGGGTTTGACCCATTGCCTCTCCCTGCTGGCTCAGAGCAGTTCCAGGATGTCATTTCCCATGAAGCCAGCACTGGACTGGGACCAGGGCGGTCCCTTCCAGTCTTGTGCTTCTCCAAGACACAGAGAACTTTGAGATTTGTTGACATACCTTGGTCTATCCAACAGGATAGACTGAGGATGGAGGAACAGAGCCTCGCATGCTTACGGCTGACTGCAGTCAGCTGATTTGTTTGAGGGACTGAAGGGTTTAAAGTCCAGGATGAGCTGGTTCCAAAACAGCCAGTCTGCTCTGAGGGTGCATTTAGAGTGAGGCAGTGAAGGTTGCTATCATGCAGAGCATGCAGGAACGTGCCATTCTACCGCCTTGCAGTTCAGGCTTCAGGCTAACGTCTGCTGGGGGGTGTCTGTGGTATGAAAGGCAATGGGATCCCAGAAGGTGTCTCTGGAAGCTCCATACCATGCTGGAGCTCCACACAGAGCTCACCCCGGTCTCTAGTCCACTAGCAGCCCTCCATCCATCTTCATGGACGAGTCACACTCCCCTTGGAGAACCCAGAAAATAAACAAGATCCGGGACTTTGCCTCCATGGATCCACTCGGAAGGGTAAGTGCAGCTCACCCAGAGTCAAGGCCAGGACAGCTCCAAACCTCCCACCCTGCCCTCCTGCCAGAGCTGTTTCCCTCCAGCAGCTGAGGGCTGCTCCTGGGGGAAACCCTCTGTCCTCGCTTCAGCTCTGCTCAGAGCTCCTGCTTGGACCCCACAACAAGCAGGCAAAGGGCTACTAGGGGCTAATGCACGGCACATGCAAAATCAGAGCAGGCAGGGTCCCTGCTGCAGGAGCAGAGCTGAACCATGTCACAGTGTCACCTCTGCTCCCATGACACCAGAGCCATCTTTTATCACACACGCAGGAAGGCCTGGTTTGCCTGGGAAGTCTCTCCCACAAAGTACAGCCAACTGGCCCACGGGCAGGCTCTTCCCAAGCCACTTTGGTCAGAGTCACACTCAACCGTACCGCTGCAGGGTCAGGACTGGGGTGACAACAGTCCCCCTGATGCTCTCCTGCGCGTGGGCAGGATGGAGCCAGCAGCACCTCCCACCCCCTGCAGACCACCAGCACGCCCAGAAGGTTTGAGCACAATTTCAGCCAGGTACTTACTTTTTCCACCTCGTCGCTCCAAAGCTGTAGGGGCCACAGAGCAACAGGAAAGGAGATCAGTGTCGGAGACGTCGAGGAGCACTCGGCATTAACACCAATGGGCAAGGACGCTCCGTGGACACAGCAAGGCCAGCTCCAGGGACAAGCCAGCCCTTCACCCAGCAGCAGCTGCCAGACCCATGCCCCTTTCCCCTCATTCTTGCACCCTCGAGCTCAGTCTCGCAGTGGAAGAGCCAGTCTGTGCCACCAGAGCCAGCAGCTCTGCCAGGGCTTGTTACAGCAACTGCTTTCAACGGGCTCCGGGAAGAGCAGAATTAAAGCAGCAGAGTCCTCCAAACAGCAAGGGTTCCTTTGCTGAAGCCTGCAGAGGCTGGTGTTGAAGGACAGCCCTTCTTTTAGGCTTGTGGAGAGGCAAATGAGCTGCTTGAGCCCACGAATAGGGCCTGGGAACTGCCATGAGCTCAAACCAGAGAGAGGCCAGTGTTCCTCACCCACTGGTCTAGAGAACCCAGGTTAATGGGATCACAATCCAGCCAGTCTGTGCTACTGACAGGGATGTTTGGCTACAGCAAGGAGGAAGCAATGGCTGGGTGCTGCCTTTGAGCCAGGCAAAACATCACGCTACTCCTTCCTACTCCCCTCACCCACAGGGGCACATTCGGGGCAGCACAACACCGCCAGCTGCTTGCTGGGATCTGGCTCCAGGACATGAAACAATTGACACCAAAAAGTCACGCACAGCGATGGGAAAGGGAGATAAGGGGAAGAAAAACACATTGACCCTTCCCAGAGGTTCTTGGCTTGGCCTTTCCTCAGCAGAAAACTCCTCCCTCAGCCCTGGATCAACTGGAACCACAGCAGCCTGCCACCAACACCCTAAATCAGTGGGGCCAGGGGGAGATGGCCTCTGAGACCCCCAGCTTCACTCTCTGATGTCACCTTTGCAGATGAGGGAAGTTCACCACAGCTATGCTGTAGGCACTCGTAAGCCCTGTGCTGGATGCTGTGGTGTCGGAGGGAGGACACACTCTATTTAGACCCAGGGTCTCCCAGCTGGACCTTGCTGAGGTTTGCTCACCAGCAACTGCTCTCAGGTGGGTTGTGGTAGCCCCAGGTGCAAAGACATCCTCACCAGCCAATATAAGGAGCACCTGCAGGAAGGTTTTATGCCAGCTCCTTGGCTTGCTGCCTGCTCCTGTTCTGGCTTCTGCTCCCTGGCCTGCAGCTCAGCTCCTGTTCCACGGTACGTAGCCTGATTGGCACCTCTTCTTACTTGAGTGGAGTTACTGTCACTGGTCTCCTTTTAGGATCGCGGGCTGTCCCTGTGCAGTGTTCAGTGTATGGAGGCTGGGTGCTTTCTCTGACCTTTAGGTGGATGTTTTGTTACTGCAAATCAGAAATTGGTTCAAACAGAGCCTGGGCAATTTCAGGCATGCCTGGGGACACGAGCCCTTTCCCCTTCTCAGCCTAAGAGGAGGAGGCAGATGGTGGGGAGATCCTGGAGGGCAGCTGAGAAGCAGGTTCTAGCCTGGACTGTGCTCTGGCACAGGGCCTCTCTCAGCACACCCTCGGGTTTTTGGAGCAAGGTTTACTGTAGGCGCAATGGGCAACTTGCACTCTGGCCACAGGTCTTCCTGCTTAGACGCTGCAGACAGTACTGAAGCCGTTCCAGGCCCATTTCATCATTGCAATTCGAATTTGGAGCCAGATTTGTTTCTCTTCTGTTGGCCTCGCTGTGCGATCTCCAGCTCTGACCCTGTGGTGCTCTGGGGTGTCACAGCTTTGCTGATCTATCCCTGGGCTAAGGCACTGTGTGGCTCCAGTCAGAATGTCTCAGATGGCTCTGGGAGCAGGAAAAGCCATGATCTGCACCCGTCTTCCTCCCCCCAGCTCAGGCCAGAAGAACCCTCTTTAAGGTATTCAATATGTTTTTCTTGGAATCATTCCTAGGAGCACAGCACATGGCAAGTGGCAGGGTCTGAGAGAAAGGGATAATATTTAGGCTTATACAGCCCACATACACCTTCTTACACAAAAACAAAAGGTCAGTGTGGGAGAGAGGAGAAATGGCTCCTCAGCCTCCAACCCATACAAAACAAGGGAGGTGCTTGTCTCCAGGTGGATCTAATTCCATCTAAGCCCTCCTGTTATGGGAGGGGGAAAAAAAAACAGAAAAGCACCATGTTATTCACCTCTCCAAAAACAACAATAGAAATTTAGAATCCAAATGGGAGCCCTGCTGGGGGCATGTGGTCCAGGAGAGAGCTGACAAAGACAAAATTGTTACCTGGGCATAAGCAATCCCTCCCTCCGGAAGGGAGCAGAGCTCAACAGCAAGGCGAGCAGCAGGCACTGCTCCGTGCTGTCAGCACAGACTAAGACTAAAGTAGCACAAGGATTCTGGCCTGGAAGAAAAGCAGAGCGACAGTATGAAGAGCTCCTACCTTGCTGCAGCGCCTGAACCCCTTGGGGTGAGTGCTGGGATTAGAGCTTGTTGTAAAGCAGCCCTGCCTGCGCGGAGCTGGGGAGCAGTCTGGGCTCAGCCCATGCTCTGCTAATTAGAGATGCCAATTGTTACTCAAGTCACTCTTGTTAGTGCAGCCCCTGCTAGTGTAGTTGGACTTCAGGTGGCACTTCAACCACCACCTGCATCCTCTACAATAGACAGTTTTGGAAGCCATGAGACACAAGGCTAGGCCAGCAGGTTTCCTACAGGTCTTCAAACTCCATCAAACTTGATTAAGTGATCAAGGCCAATGCTGGCTGCTTACCTAGAGCAAGTCCATCTCCTAGAGCCCTGCTCTGTCCCACATCATCACCACTGCTGTCAGAGCTTCTCTAGCAGAGCTCTGAAGAGAGACTGCTGAACTGGTCTACCCTGGCACTTCTCTGCCACCTGTGGGCTAAAACCTCCCTAAAACTCTGTTCTCCTGTTGCATTACTGTGCTTGGCATCTACTCCCCACAACAGCTTTGCAGTTCAGTGATGACACGTTCAACTGAGCATTTGGGCACTCTGCGAGATGCTAATGCACATTATGCAAATGCTTGTCTTCAGGTCTGCTTTAGAAAGCCTTGGGGAATGATGGGGATACCCTGGTCTAATCAGAGCTATTCAGAGACAGGGAAAGTCCGGTTTCTCTTCTCTCTTTCTCCTACAGCTTTTGCAGTTCGGTGATGACACATTCAACTGAGCATTTGGGCACTCTGCGAGATGCTAATGCACATTATGCAAATGCTTGCCTTCAGGTCTGCTTTAGAAAGCCTTGGGGAATGATGGGGATACCCTGGTCTAATCAGAGCTATTCAGAGACAGGGAAAGTCCGGTTTCTCTTCTCTCTTTCTCCTACAGAGCTTTGCAGTTCAGTGATGACACGTTCAACTGAGCATTTGGGCACTCTGCGAGATGCTAATGCACATTATGCAAATGCTTGTCTTCAGGTCTGCTTTAGAAAGCCTTGGGGAATGATGGGGATACCCTGGTCTAATCAGAGCTATTCAGAGACAGGGAAAGTCCGGTTTCTCTTCTCTCTTTCTCCTACAGCTCAGTTCTAGTCCATTATTGTGCTGTCCTTGGAACAGACCTTTCCAAGGGAGAAGCAGGCTCGCTGTGAGTTGCTGTGCTCGGGGAGATGGAGACTGAGCAATTGCTACAGCATCACCAGTCTCTGCTTCATCCTAAGGAGTCTCATCACCGGGGCAGTCACCTATGGAAGTAATTTTCTAACTATTGTGCAAAGCTGTTTCCGATCCCAGCATCACTCTCCAAGAAGGTCAGGACAGATGCCCCTGGGAACTAACACTGATGCTACCAGCTCAGACACATCTCTCCCCAAACAGGATGGGTTGTCCATTAACCAAATCCAGCTGGTTTCCATGACGTTTTTTGTTTGCTAGAAGGCTGGGCTGTCCTTTTTCATATCTACAGACCCCACTCCCCAGCCCTTCCACTCCCAGATTACTCTATTAACAGGCATCAGTGTTGTTCTGAAGTGTTATTTAGGAAGCAAGATGATCAGTTTTCAACATTTTAACGAGAAATGTGACATTGTGCAATGGGGAGCCATGAACACAGCACGGGAAGTCAATTGCTTGACCACAACCACTCAGTGCCACACTGTAGAGATGCAACGGGCCATTTACCCACCCCCAGAGCATCTGACTGCGGAACAGCCACCAACAGACAGGCCCCAAGATGACAGGGGGAAAAAAAATTCTCTTTGCAGAATAGATGAGCCTGAACTGTCAGCTACTGCATTACTGACACAATGGGGGGCAGACAGATTCCTCCACCTTTGCTTCTCTTGACCAGCTACAAAGTCTTGGAGCACTGTCACCACAGTACTGATCAGGCAGTCACCCATGTGGCATTGCCAGTGTACAGCTGGAACCATCCAGAAAGGCCAACCTTTGAGGTTTTTTTCCTTTTAATTGCTCCACTAGCAATAAAAAACAGTCAGAAGGTTCCCACTGGAAGTGTGGAGATGGATAAGCAGAGAAACTGGAAAGCAAACCAAGGAGCAAAAGTGCCAGACCCTGACCATGCACCCCCACAGGGGGGATCTGCATCCTTCGGGTTGAATCAGAGGAACCTCGGGCAGCCCATGTCACATTAAAATGTTGAAAACAGCAGAGCACTAGGGTCTGAGTTTAAATCAGGTGAAGAGAGGGGCAGGAAGAGGTTGGAGAGGCAACATCTAGGAGGAGGCAATCTTACCGCTGATGCGCTGGCGGAGAGAACGTAATTACGAGGTCTAGTCTCCTGAAAGTCAGGCACAGCCTAGTGGGGGGAATAGAGTTTCATGTACACGTCACGCAGGAGTCGACAGGAGTCAGTCGGGCAATGGATGGAAGAAGGGACTAGAGTGTTTTTCCTGTCTCTGCTGGGAGCTTGGTTCAAATTCTTATGGGATGGCAGGATGGAGGTCTCCCAACAGCCTGGGTAGCGGCGTGTGGAAGCCAGGTTTGTGCAAGAGGAGGGGGACTGGCTCATGCAGTCACACCCAGCACTTGACCAGCAGCTGTTTCTGCTGTTAGAAACTCTGCCTGTACTTACAGCTGGCTGCTCGCACAGCGCCCAGTTGGAGTGGAGATGAGACGGCACAATCTCAAATGCATTTCCCATTCCCTTGCAGCCAGCAGGTTGCTCACGTCATGTTGGCTCAGTCCAGTGGGCAGGACCTTCCTTCCCCTTTCTTCCCACCTAGAGTCCTAGAATTGTCCCTGTCCCTTATCCTTGAAGTGGGCATATTTACTAGCATCAGAGTATCCTTTTCATGCTGCCTTTTAAAGAAACACATCCACTTGTTCTTACTCTCACCAAGCCTCTGGGCGTGTTTTCTCCCAGCAGACTCAGATCTGCTATTTTTGGGAAGGGGAACGGCTTAGCCAAAGCAGATCTAGTCCAAAGCCTGTTGCCAAAGGCAGCGTGTGAGTTTTCAGCCTAGAGGTCAGAAAACCTCCAAGCCACCTTCTCCATAGCTAAACCTCTGCCCTGGGGCAGGAAGACTTAAGCACTTTGGAGGCTTTTCCTCCTTGGGAATGCAAGGGATCCAGTCCACCCACCCACAGGTGTGGGACCACTAACCATCACAGAACTAAGAGAAGGCCTCCTCCTGGGGTGACCTTTGGCTGTAGCATCACCCAAAGCGCTGAGTCAACCAGCTGGCTTACAGCAGGACCATCACGCTGGTCTGATGGATAAGGGCATCCTCCTGGGTCAGGCTTCACTGCGCAGTGAGTTGGTGTGAAAGGCTGGCACAGGATCCAGCTGTAACCCAGCTACGCCGTTAATCCTCTCGGGCCCCACATTTCCTCTCCCAGGTTAATCTCTTTGCAGCTCACCCAGATCTGCTTATACACGCTGACCCGGTTTGCTGGGCCCCGAGCAGCCTGCTGGAATGAGTGACCAGGGTGTGGAGGAGCAGTCAGGCAATCCCAACAAGAGTTTGGTTTTTTTAAAAACCATCTAGGAGTTTTGGGGATGGCTGGAGGGAAGGAATAAGGAGGAGCGACTCCTATTACAATTAAAATCTGAATATAAAGGAGAAAAATGCACCAGTGAGATTTGAGGCCAGCACAGCAACTAGGCTTAACTCCTCCCTGTGGGGAGAGGAGATATTTCACAACGACAGCTTATTAGCTTTTTTTTTTTTTTAAAGATAAGAGCAACTGAAGAAACCTCTCCTCCCATTCTCTGATCTCCAGAGAGTCCCAAAACTAGTCACAGCACATGGGATGAAGGAGGCAAGCTGCTCTTGCGCTCCTATGCATCAAGTTGTATTTGCAAGCAGTGGTCAAAAGTGACCCACCTCCCTCCCGCTCTTGTAATGGGGAAAACAGGCAGAGCCCTGGAGGACAGAACAGCACCACAACCAGATCAACCTGCCTGTCATTGTCTCTGGACTGCTTCCCTTCCAGGAGAGGGGCTTGCCACCCAACCTGTCCTCCTCCTGCCCGCAGCCGGAGGAGCCTGAGTGGGTCTTTAGGGGAGCCCCTGCCCCTCTTGAGCACTGCTTGCAAGCAGCATTGATGGAACAGAGTGCATGCTCCAGAGGGGCTGCTGGCAGCCAACAGATGCTCCCATTTTCCTGGGCTACCTTCCCCAGGCAGCCTCCACGCTCAGTACATGCTCCAGGGCCAGTCCCAATGGGACAAGGAAAATATGAATTTTCATTTAAAATGGGAAAGAGACAATGAGAGGTGTTAAATTAAAAAAAAAAATAAAAATATCATCACAGCACTGTTAGCGCAGTCAATACTCACATCTCCCTCACACTGAGCAAATTACAAAGAAACAAAACAAAAAGGTTAGTAAACCAAACAGCATCAAGGGGAAGGACAAAGCACGAAGTCGGAGGGAAATGCACAAGCCCAGAGCTCGAACAGCAGGTCCCGGGTCTGGGCAGCAGCGCACGCGGAGGGTCAGTCACGAGACAGAAGCTGTGAGAACACGAGTTTGCACCACAGAGGGGAAGGGCAGCCAGAGAGGGGTGAGCTGGGAGAGGCCAGATACTTGAGGGCAGCTTGGATGGAGAGGTGTGACACAGGACTCCAGGCATGTTACAGGGCACGTTGTGGTCTAATGATGAGTTAATAGGCCTTGAGCAGGGGCAGCAGTTCTCTCCCCTCCATGCTGGGAGCCGTGCCTTGTCCTCTAGTAGTCAGTGGGGTGCCCTAAGGCCAGGGAACCCACCTTTAAGCTAAGCTGGGTAGGAGATGGGTACCCACAACAGCAGCTGAGGCTGTTCTTCTGATGGGCTGGAAAGTGGCTTGGGACAAACACCCTGGAAAGCCTGGACTTGCTCTGCATCCCACCTGGGGCATCCCAGCCCTGCAGTTCCCATGGGAAACCAAGCTCTTCTGTTCCAGCTGCAGGGAAGTTCCTCACCCAAGGGTCTGTGTGCAGGTGAGAGGCCTTGAGACCACTTCATGTAGGAAGCAAGGTAAAGAGGGTGGAAAAGGAGGAAGCACAGGAGGTATTGGAATTCCTGTTCTGATTTAAGCTTAAGATAATGCAATGGCCACCTCTTCCCACTGAGACTGGGGGCACCATCCCCTTCAGAAGGGGAATCAGGGATCCCTGAAGTTACCTTTAGTGGATCTGGGTGACCTGACTGATGAGAGGAGGCTTTTTTAAAAGGGCAACTACTGCTTTTGTTCACCCAGAGCTTTGTTCAGGTCTTTCCCACATAGGACTGACTGACTGCTCCCTTAGACCTGCTGATGGGGGCTGCTGAGCTCAGCACAGCTTCCCCATATGGCATGTATGCAGTTAGAGCTGGAGAAAAGGGGAAACACCCAGGAATTGGCCACCCAGGGAGCTGCAAGGCCAGAGGCCCAGCTGAGCAGATGGCTAGAAAATGAGCTCATGGCAGAGTTCCTAGGCTGGTATCCCAGTGCGTTGCAGAGACTGAGTGACAAGGATTCCTGCCTATTCTGACTGCACACGTTTGCTAGTTGAGCTCCTGGCCTCAGGCTAGAAGCAGAACTTGGCAAGTCCTTGTGCCAACAGCCAGAGCGCTACAGGATGGCAAATCTGCTTCAACAAGGCCCTCCAGGGAACCCACCTACATCCTCCCTGTCACACTGCCTCTGCCCAGGGAGAGTCCAGCTCCAGGAGAAGCCTCAAGGCCCAGGGAGCACCCTGAGCTGACAGGTCATCAGCCTTAGAGAAGCACTTTGAAGTGCTTGTCCCCATTGCTCAGGCCTGCAGAGAGGGACAATGACTGACTTAGCAGTCCCTTCTGCGCTGCTCTGACCTGGGGGCTAGTTCACTTGTCATGATTCCCTCACAGCCAGAGGGCAAGACGAGCCCACAACTAGGCAGCACCATGAATTAAGTGAATAGAGAGGCTGAAGGAAGGGCCTCTTGGTAGACAGTCTTACCATGGCCACCCCAGCCATGTGTTTGGGGATGACTGAATTGGCAGAATCCTAACAGGTCTGGGAGCCTGGGACTGCTGCAGAGCCCCAGCATGCTTTTCCCTTGCACTCCTCCCAGCTCAGCTCTCTCTTGGCTTGCTTTGAGATCCCCAGGGAAACTTAGCAGGTCCTCAGAAGACACAGCCTTTCAGTTACTAGTACAAATCATCTGGCAGCTACTATCATTCAGGAGACAGGAGCCTGGGTTGGGTAGAAGGCTCCAGACTTTGGAAGCTCAGAACTATTTGTTTCAACAATCCCCCATGGGAGGATGTCTGAAGAAGAGGGACACGGCTCCTAGTCACAGTTCCCTTGCATACCAGACACAAAATGCCCCCACCCATGCCTGCCAGAGCCAGGACATAGTAGGGCAGCCTAATTTTTGTCCGGAGAGCACGTGACATTTCTCATGTGAGCCAAGCCCTGGGGCCAGAAGGACAGTGAGGGAAATAAGGGGAAAAAATTACCGCTGCTTTTGCCTCGGCAGCTTTGGCTTTCTTCAACCTGGCTTTGCAGGCGTCCAGATCCAGGCGACGGTTCTGCAGGATCCTCCGCTCTTTCTGGAAGGGACAGAAAATGGGATAAGAGCAGACTGCTTAGGAACTGCTGGGGAGGGAAAGGGACAAGGTACCATCTAGGAATCAAGTTTATTTCCTTAGCAAAAAGTGTTAGTGAGAAAGAAGCAGTCGCTGCGTTCATCTTGTTAACAAGAGTCTTAGGCCTGGCTGCTGGGGATACAGGCTGACCTGGTTACAGGGCAGCTGTGGGTGGCTGGTGGCCATTCAGCTGCAGGAGTCAGGAAAGGAGCTACCTTCCTCATGCACATCAACTGGCAATGCTGCTCTGCTGCGAAGGGAGCCCCGAGCAGATCTAGGATTGCTATTTCCCTGTCATTGCATTCTTTGATGGGAGAGGAGTCCTTTTTCAACAGGGAAGGAAAATAAGTTTTCAGCCCTGTCTCCCTCTCCCTTCCTTGTCTGTGGTGACAGGACAAGCTTCCCCTTCCCTGCCACCATACTTACAGATATGGTTCGCCAGTCCCCTTCCAGGAAGTTGCGCAGTGGAGTCAAGAAGTTGAGGGAGGCAGAGTGGATGAAGTCCCGTTCTGCTGCACCTAAGCGCCTTTGGGTCTCTCCAACTTTTATCAAGGTCTTCCCTGCAATGACAGGAGCCTTCAGCATCAGGAGAAACCAATTAACATTGCGTTGGCTTCAGCCAACTCACCCAGAGCTACCCGAGTCCAGTGTTGGGGGACAAAGGCACAGTGTACGCTGCCTGGACGAGGTGACCATGCCCATACCACGCCAGCTTCAGACCTAACTACAATCTGCTTTTAGCTTGAGGCCTCTTCTCAGCTGCTCCCAGTGCAGCTTTGATCTTATCTGAGGCACTTATTCCACTGATGTCCTTTTACTGCTATACCTGCTTGCGCAGAATGATCTGTTAGTCTCATAAAACAGAGGCACTGGAACAGAGCAGCAAATTAAAAAGCATCAGACCAGAAAAAAATGAGTTGATTAGGCAGTGCTGGCTATAGATGCAGTTACAGCTGTTCTGCCTGTAACAGGACTCACTATTGAACAGCTATTGATTTGGAGAGCAGCAACAAAGATCATGGCAGAGGCAAGGACAGCTGGAAGTTGTGCAGGTTTGCTGCTCAAAGAAGCCCAAAATTCCCCCAGGAACGGGCCACTGTTAGGATTTAAGAGCAGGAAGATGTACTGTGTGGTCAGGAAGGGGTCTGTTGAGGCTTGTAGCCAAGCATCAACCTTCCCAAGTCTGTTTTCCTGTTCTCTTTCTGCTGGAGAAATATTTTCACCCTCCACTTGCAGGATACAGTTAAAAGATGGTTCTTTGGTCAGAGTCTAGAGAAACTCTGTGCAACTAGATACCACCTTCGACTAAATATATGCTCAAACTGCACAAAGCTAAAGGCATTCACTGCAACAAGGCAAGTTTAGAAAGCCAGAGAAATAGCAGAGTTTCTGCATCCTATAACCAGCTCCACTAGTTACCCTGGATCTATGTGTGTGTGTTTCTTCTCTAGCTCTGCCAGGCTTGAGGACTGTATAAGGAATGGGGACACCCCTTCCCCTTTTTTACCCCACAGCATGGAAGATGCTTTGCTGTGGAGTAAGACTGACTTACTACTCCAGGGGGGCTGTTTGTTTCTGTGCTAGAGAAGACCCTTCTCTGGCATCACCTTTGATGGACCCATAGGCAGGTTGCCACAGGGGAAGCAGGTCCCCTTGCCCTCTTTGAGCGTCATGCTGCAGAAGTCTTAACCCAAACCAGTCACGGGGATACTCTCTTAGGAAGGGATGGACTCCCAGGGCTTTTTAATTAGCCAGGCCGACTTACCATAAGGTGTCCCTGGCCCAAAGTCATTAGCTGCTTCTGTCATGTATTGTGCCAGCAGCTCCCCGTTGGTGACCCGGGAAGGCACCTTCCGGTCCAGCTTCTCATAGAGGAATTCTTCTACTCTGGCACCTGGAATGAGGATCCCATCAGCAATTACAGGATGGAGGATGAAGGAGAGGCCCCTGAAACTGGCATTTGGGGTAGCCCATCCCATGCAGCTCTCAAGGTACTGGACAGGAAGCATCAGCACCAGGAGAAGGTGTCCCTTCCCCAGCCCTCAGGAGCACTGCCAGGCTCTGTAGGGCAGCAGCCAGGCACCTCTCAGCTACGTTGGGAAGGAAGGACAGGCCCTGCAAAGACAGGTTTCTTCCAACCCCCACAAACTCAATGGAACAGGGATCTCTGCCAGAGGGCATCTTTTAACACTGAGCTGCAAGTCATATTTGTCCTTCAAGCATCAGGAGAACCTGGACTTACTAGGGTTTGGCTGTAGCAGAACCTCAGTCTGACGCAAGATCTTCTCTGTCCAGTTCTTTGTGCAGTCTGCCCTGGCCAGAAGGTTTTCAAAGTGGGCGTCTAGCTCAGTCTTCTCAGCCTGGCCCAACTTTTCTTCAGTAAACTGCAGGAAGGACGGAGTCATTAGAAGTTCTGTTCTACTAAAGCGAAATTATAGTGTGCTATAGAGCTATTAAGGGACTCTGAGACTTATTCTGTCTCATGCATTCATCGTAGAGGAGAGCTAAAAAGCCTTCAAGGTATCATTCTTTGTTACCAGGTATCTTTCGGGGAAGAGGGCAAAAGTTTGCCCAGGAGTGGAACAAACATTGAGCTAAAAATAGAGCCCAAGTTTGAGAGGTGTTCTGGAATAAGTTTTTTTTAAATAAGGTCTCAAAAAAACAACCTTCTAATTGTGAGGAATCTATTTGAATGTGCATTGGGTTCTTCATGCAGGAAAGCAACAGACCTCCTTCAGGTGAGGCAAGATGCCAATTCCCTTTACTTCCTCTTAACCAACTCTGTCCTGCAAACCCAGCAGGATCAGGAATGCCACTGCCACCTCATAAGTCCTGCTTTCTTCTCACCATGTACACAACATTGGGTTTGCTACAGGCTTGTGAGTGCCCTCCAACAGGTGAGCTGCCTCCCAGCTCACCTCCTGCCTTGCTGGCAGTGAGCACCTGAGGTTTAAGGAGGCTTAAACTCAGGATTTAGATAAAAATGCTTCCAGCAAATGACTCTAGGACACACTCTGAAGCAGGGTATTGTGAGAAATATAATGGTGCCTGACTCTTAGCACTCTGATTCATACTGGCAGTGGATTCTCCCTCCCTCCATGATTCCTTTTAAGTTTAAGATTAGCAGCAGGGAAAAGCAGGCTGTGAAAGTCTTCAGTGTTTTCATACTGGGCAGTGACACCTGACAAGCAAGGTTTGTCAGTCTGGAGGTGCAGCATCAGATGGCCTGGAGACCCCCTCCCAGCTTTCTTGGGGATGGGATGAGAGGGAATGGACTCTTCTCTGAAATCTCCCATTTTCTACTCATCCTCTCAGTGAAGTTGGCAAAGCACAATTTCCTGCTCTTGATGGAACCAACATCTTGTTGGATCATACTAAGAGACCCCTTTAAACAACTCTGCCACTTGGGAGCCTACAGAAGTAGCAGTTGTCCTTTTAGCCCTTGTTGCTGGCCTCTAGTGCCACTGTTATCAGGACATCATACAGTACAATACCTGGTACATTCAGGTGCCAAGAGATTAAAGCCCGGCTAAAACTTCTAGATGAAATACAGCTCCTGTCCAATCTGCCACCTGTACCTTCTCCTCTCCCCTCCCCTGTCCCAGAGCTCAGCTCTAGATGGGCCAAGCTGCCCTCTTCATGGGGTCTTGGTCTGGTGTCTGCTGCCAGACACCACCCTTTCTTAAAGGCTTTCTGGCAAGCTCTGTTCCTGTGGGTGCCCCTCACCCCCAGCTGCGTTCACATCCCGTGCAACAAAGCTGGGAACAAAGGGAGATAAGGAGCAAGCCCAGGACCAGCGTGCGAGGAGGCAAACAGCCCTTAGGAGTCCTGTTACCAGCCATGTGCAAATGTTACTAGATGTCCGAGATATCCAAGCCCTACAGGTATGTTTACACAGTGACCTGTTTGGGCAAGCTACAGGCAGTGAAACCCTTTGCCGGATGTCGGTGGTGACAGGTACTGAACTGCAAGGACACTCACACTCCTCTCTCCTCCAGCCTGGTGGTGACAGAGGAGTCACAGCCATGCATGACCACGGATTGCTTCACCAGTCTGTTCCTCAGCATCAGTAGCCCCTGGTTACTGACAGCTATTTTCAGCTCAGTCTTGCCATGGACCCCTGGCTATTGCTGGACGTGGCTAAAAGCAGACTGAAGGTGAGAAGGTGTTTGTATTGCTTTGTACCTGATGTCTGTGATTGCCTTTGGGGGACCCACACAACTGTCAGCCATGCGTGAGCGGCTGAGGCTCCCTCCCTCTGTCACTGTTGGAAACCCAGGGCTGTTTTCAGACTCTGCCAGGCTGGGCTGAGTCACTGCCATGCAGCAAACTGGGGCTTCCCAGGTATTTGGCACAAATTCTTGAGTCATCTGTTTAAGAGCTTTCTTAAACAAGCCAAGACTCTTTGATGCAAGCATAACAGTCTCCCTCGCCCCCCTTTCACAGGCAGCTTTTTGAGATCTCACTTTCAAGTCCAGCTCTTCTTCTTGCAATTTATACTCTCCTGCACCAGCATCTGCCCTGGAGCTGTCAAGCCTAAACCCAGTTGCTTATCAGCTGAATTTAGTCAGCTTCTTACAGCATTGCTGCAGTCAGATCACCGCTGAAGCCCTTCAGCAGCTCCATAGTGCTACTGCCAGCCTCTTGAATCACTCCAGCTTTGGGGTCCTTTGCAATATTCACAAGTGGCATCTCCAAACATCACTGTCCTTTTGCGGCTGTTTTCTGTAACCCATCCCTTCACCCAGTGCAGTGGAATAATGTGTCGTTTGGCCAGGGAGCAGATGGGACTCAGAAACTTTAGTGCCCGACTTGAGATAAGAACTGAGCTGTTTGTCTTGGGAGAGGGCTGAGGACACGCACCACGATCACTGCAAACCTGGGCTGTGCCAGAAGGGGAGGATGGGCAGGAATCTCAGTCACATCCTGTGGCACCAAAGGGTCAGGTCAGAAAACAATCTCTTATTGAGGCTTTCTTTCAGTGTTGGAAAGCAGGATGTGAATGTCATGAAGTGGGTGCAAGGGCACAGGAGGCTGTAGCTCACTTACTGGGAGGCTGTTTCCCCATTTACACTTAATTCCCTTAGTGTCTCCCTCACCCCTGCCCAGAAGGCAGCTATGCTGCAGACCCAGGCACAGCTTTGGGGCAGCTGGTACCACTGCATTGAAGGTTGCTGCAGAATGGGCTCTTTTTCCTCCCCTGCAGCACACTTCTACCTCCTTGTCTGTACATGGGGAGCCATTGATGCAGCTCAACTTGACCTCTAAAGAGACTTTTCAGGCAAATCAGAGAACTCGCTCAACTACACAGCACTACTGGGAACATGCCACCATGGGGTGCAGAGGGAGCAGGACCACCTCTTGCAGGAGCAGCTGGCAGTGAGATCAGATGAAGCTGCTCATGGAAGCACAGCCAGTGAAAGAGATTAGAGGTAAGTTACACCGCCTTATCCTATGAGCTGGTTCTTTCTTATGGCCCGTGCAAGTGGAGATCTGAGCTTTCAGGTGGCAACAGGTCTCAGCTGCTGATCCCCTCTTAACTGGCTGCCCAAATCAGTGTCCCCAGTGAAAAGCTGGGTAGAACAACAGCAGTTTATGAAGTCTGGCTACTCAAGTATTTCATGCAGAACTCCCCCATAAAGGACTTCTGTTCCTAGGAATTTGTTTTCTTAACACTTACAGAAATGTCATTATTTTTCCCTTCTCATTGAACAGGCATAAGATTTTACTGTGAGGCCAAGAGATGCAGGAGAACAGATGAGCTGATCATACACTCATGCCTTCCGACTGTAAAAAGACAGATTAAAAATATTTTGTGTCTTGGTGTCTTTTGCAGCACCAAATACTCTGCATTGCCACAAACGGGAGCCTTATTTGGCTGCATCAAGTTGACCTACAGGCTTGGTGAGTATGCACCTGGGAGGGAGTCAGGGCAGGTAGAGCACATACAATTGCAATGCCTGGGGAGAACCTTAAGCTCCTCCATCCTGCTGTGACTGAATTACTCCCATTTGTTTTTTTAGAATCTGATAGTTGGGTCAATAGTCCTGCCCTGAACCTGGGATCACGTGCCAGGTGGTGGGCTTCCTGTCCTGCAGGAAGCGTCCCTGCAGCTGATCCAGCTGAGCACCAGTCCCCATCTTTGTGCAGGGAAGCCAATGAGGTGATTAATAATGCAGGGCAGCCTTTTGTCGAGTGCCACTCTCGCTCTCCAGGAAGAGGAGAGTCGTGCTGCATTCCAGGGCATCAATAATTTAGCCAAAGGTTGGGTTTCCTCTGGGAGGCTTGGCTGGCCAGCAGGAACGCTAGATGCTTTATCAGGGCCCGTGTGGGCAAGCAGGCTGACACATCAGGAGAGCAGCGCTCGGGTGACAGGCCCAAAAGAAGAAAGACCACGCTGGACTGCAGTTAGGGCAGCTGCCTGCATTCACAGCTTGAGCATAAAAGCCCCTTTCCCCAAGAGAGTTGGTAGAGACATTACTGGGATATCAGGAGGGTGAGCAAGTAGAGCTGAGCTGGATGCACTACAGCTACAATATCAACAAAGGCTGTGCTTACAGCCCCAGAGATTTAAGGCCATCAAGGTTAGGCTTTAAAATAACACATGCGTTGTTTTCCTTGCTGAAAGCATTAGCACCTTTCTCCTCTTTAAAGCGAGGGGAATAAAATCCCAGTGCTCCCAACTGAGTTATGCCAACACCACAGCTGTTTTGCACAATGCAGCACGAGTTGACTTATGTCTCTGCCAGGCTTGTGTGATTTTTTCCATCCCTCTCCCCTCCAGCTGGCCCAGGTTTATATGCTGTGAACTCGGACAGGGCAGCTGCAGCCCCCTTGCAGAGGATCTAATGGCAGAGTTCAGGCCCTTGTTCTACTGGCAGAGTCCCCAGTTTTTCCAGTTGGAGATTACTTATGACTTTCCACCTCAAATCACAGAGATCAAACCAGGTTCAGGAGCCTTAAACCAGGAATGGTCTCCTGCACCTGCCATTAGTTTTGGGCCGATGGATTTTCTGAAGCCTCTGAACAGCTTCATAATGCCTGGACTACTGCAATATTTGCTTTTTTGGTGATCAGAGGCAAGACAGAATCAGTTCTGGCAAATCTACCTCCCAACTTGTACAGGGTTACATTAGGAGAGAAGCCATAGCCCCTTAGTCAGCATCTAAAAGCTACCTGAATCTCAACAGCTCTGGACCAGATACAGAATATGCTTCAAGTATTTGGTCACCAGGAATCAGGAAAGCAAGGCTCTGAGCCAAATAAAACTGTGCTAGAGGACAGAAGGAAGCCATTAACAGGACAGCTTGGTTAACTCATGAGCAAGGCATTTGGGAGAGGAAAAAATACTGCCCTCATGGATTTATAGGCGTGTTTCAAATAAGAGCATGCTCTGCCCCATGCCTCTGCCTTCAAAACCCTTTTAGGTCACCTCCTGTTCTCTTGACTTTTAAGGTGTCCAGCAACCAAGGTATCAACCCCAGTAAAGTCAGCAAGCAGAGGGGAAAAGTCTGTTTTATCACGAGAGCTGAGAGAGATGGGGGAGTCTGTGTTTCTTCAGGGCCTTCAAGATAGAGTAAGCCAACCTCTAGCTGCTAGTAGTAATTACATTAGCAGTGGAATAAGCACCCAAAAGCTGTACTCACACTTGGGCAATTTCACCCAGAGTCAGTTTACATCAAAACTGACAAAAGACAGACACCTACAATTATTTCCAGACATCCCTGAGAGCGCCTGGCTTGCAGCCTGTCTAGAACAGAAACAACCAACGTGTTACCTCTGGAAGAAGAGATGCCAGTTCTGTAGGGAAGCCAGAGCTGTCAGCATCGCTTCCTCTGCAGAGATTTGGGATCAAACCCCCTTTACTGATAACTGGAAGGTGCAGCTGATCAAAGAGAAAGGCCTCTTTCTCCTTCAGTGAATATTAGAACAGCAGGACCTGTTTGAAGTCTGTCCGCAGGCGCAGCTGGTAGGGGCTATGTGCTACATCCCCTCTGAGGATGCTTACTGGGTGGCTGTGACTGGTGGAGCAAGTGTCAATACAGTACATTGTCGAGTGGGATGCTGAATCCTACAAAAGCTCTTTATCCTTGCAGCTGCAAGCTTAAGCTTGTTCCCCACTCCCAGGACAGTAATGCTGACCACCACCTCCCTCCTCTGCTTTGTCTACTTCTGCTACCTATTTTGTTTTTCCAAAGAAAACAAGATGCCATGAAGGCTGCAGGGCACTGCCTGGTCAGGGAGTCACGAGCACAAGGCTGGTAAGATAGTTACGCTTATACAGCTTCTTTCTCACAGCCACCTTTGTCCTGCTCCTGCTGGACATGGGTACTGGGTTACCTACCCAGGAGCACACAAGCCCTTCAAGCTGCCAGTTAGCTCAGGCACCAGTTAGCCACATAAAGGGAGTGGTTTGTTGAGGACTTTTTTGGTCATGATTAAGGTCAAGCCTAGTCACAGAATCACAGAATGATATGGGGTTGAAGGGACCTCTGGAGATCATCTAGTCCAACCCCCCTGCCAAAGCAGGGCCACCCAGAGCAGGTTGCACAGGAACATGTCCTGGTGGGTTTGGAATGTCTCCAGAGATGGAGACTCCACCACCTCCCTGGGCAGCCTGTTCCAGGGTTCTGCCACCCTCACAGGAAAGAAGTTCCTCCTCATGTTTAGGTGGAGCTTCTTATGTTCAAGTTTTTGTCCATTACCTCTTGTCCTGTCACTGGGCACCACTGAAAAAAGACCAGCCCCATCCTCTTGACACCCACTCTTTAAGTATTTATAGGCGTTGATCAGATCCCCCCTCAGTCTTCTCCAGACTAAGAAGACCCAAGCCCCTCCCAAATCCTTCAGACAGCACCTACATTAGGTTGCATTTGATAGGTTTCAAGGTTTGCTCTTGCCCTAAGCCTCAGGGAAGCCACCCCAGAGGTGGTGTGCTGCCCATGCTCTGCCTCCTTCCCCCCTCACCGAGCAATGCTACAGCCCTTCTTCCAGTTTGAGTTAAGCTCTTGTGTGTTGGCCAGACATCCCAGCCAGACAGCAATAGCTAATGCTGTCTGAGTGGCACAGCACATAATGGCCAGCCCATTTATCTCCCAGTTGCTGCAGTTCCAGTAAAACATCACTTTGTTAAATGCCTGGAGCCAAAGAAAGCGTCTCCAATGCTAGAGAAAAACTGAGCTTATTCTAGGCAGGTCATATTCTCCTCCTGGAAGATCCGCCGTGCTAGAGCATGCTACAAACCCAATCCTCATTGCCAACAGCAGACCTCAACTGTCATTTCTGGCTCTTGGTGGAGACAGGGCAACGCTCACCCACACGAGCAGCAGGACTCTATGGGGACAGCCTAAATAAGCCTATTTTCTCCAGCAATTAGGCTTCAGAAGGTTGTTTTCAGCCTCAGCAATCCATTTCCTTCCAGTCTCCCCTCCTTACACAAACACCTGCACGCTGTCCGCAAGTACCAGTGCCCATTTTGCTTCAAGAAATTACTACTGTAATTAGTCATATGAATATTCATACACAAGATTATGTGGAGTAGGTGTAGCAGGCAGAAGCCACTATTTATAAACGCCTCCTTGTTCTAGAATCGCTCTGTGCAGACACTGTTCCCATGCCTGTCTCCTTCCTACGCCTTGAAGCTAAAAAACACTTATCAGAGACTTACAATAAGACTTCTAAACATAAGATTTCTCTACAGCATTTCTTCCATTCTTCTGCTACCAAGGTCATTTGCATGAGAACAGCATCTTTAAGCTTTCCATCTGCTCCTTATTTTGCACCTGTAGTTAATATCTCTCTTTTTCATAACATATGACTCACTGGCACAGTTACAGGAGGTGATATCTGTTTACAGGAGCCCAGTTCCTAAAAGAGCCAGAATTACTCCACTTTACAGAAGGTTTTGGAACAAGACAGCACTGCTCTGTTTGTTTATCAACCCCCCCAGAATAGGTAAAACAATATGCCCAGTCCCAGAGTCACCAGTTGGACTTCGCTTCTCAGGCAGGATCCCAACCAGTTCTGACCTGCCTCTCTCTTCTCCTGCCCAGCCAAAACCAGCTTTCCAGTTGTTTTGCCCAAGAAGTGGGCAGATTTAGCAGCCACGTCTCACCACCTGATGCACACTTTGCTCCTCAGGGGTAGCCCAGTTTCTTTACTCCACAGCTCCAGGGGGGTCACTGCATCCCCAAGCAGCTCCTGAGCTCGAGTGTGCAAAGGATGGTCCTGATGCCACTTTAGCCCACAGAGATGCTGCTTCCTCAGTCCCAGCAGCTCCTTCCCATCACTTTGACAGCACTGTGATTTGTTAGGGCCTGGGAGCTACTGCTACCTGACCTCCCAAGGGACCGAAGCGCAGACCATCTGCGAGGCCACCTCTGCCACACCTCCCTAAGCAAAATGACACAGTTCCCCAACGGGTCTGGGGAAACAACTTTGCGAGATAAGCATTTCTGCAAAAACAACCACCGTTAGGCAAGCAGCATCCTCTCCGCACCCCTCTTCCCCCACCAGCGGTTTGGTTGGGAGCATCTCCAGACCTTAGGAGCCTCACCCCGGCAGCATCACGGGCTGGTTTAGCTCCTGCTGGGGGTCCCTCAGAGCCCACAGCGCCCAGAGGGGGCCGCTCCTGGGGCCGGGGCTCAGCCGAGCGGAGCCGGCCAGCTCCAAACTCATTCTCCAGCCTCCCTCCCTGGGAATAAACCTCCCCTGGTGGGTCCCAGGCAGCGGGAAGGCCCGGTAGCCCCGGGAGAGCCCCGGCCAGGCCCGATTCCCCCCCTCAGGAGGGCGCCGTTGCCATGGCGACGCGCTGCGGCCCGGCCCGCCTCACCTGCATGGCGCGGGAGAAGAAGACCCCCGCGTCCGACGCCAGCTTCTTCACGTTGAAATCCATGGCGGCACCGGGACCTGCCGCCGCCTCCGCCGCGCCCCCGCTGTCACCGCGGCCGCCGCACGCCCGCCCTTTATAGCGCCGATCGATGCCCTCCTACCAGCCGCACTGCCGCCTCTTAAAAGGGCGCTGTGTCACCCGCCGCGCCTCCCGGTGCCGAGACGGGCGGGAGGGCGGTGCAGCGGCGGGAAGGGAGCGTCGGACCGTGCTGACAGCCGGCGGGGGCGGGTCTGGCCTTCCCGGGGAGCGCCGCGAGAGGCGGGGGGCGCGGGCGGCGGGCGCGGCCCCTTTAAGCAGAGGGGGAGCCGTCAGCCGTCGCCGAATGGGCGCTCGCGCCGCCCCTTCCCCTCACGGCTCAGCCGCACTCGCCGCCGCATCCTCCAGCCGGGGCCCGGGGAAGCGCTCCGATTGGTGGGCCGGCGGGCGGTTCGCCGCTCTTATTGGCTAAAAGAGGGGACCGGGGGAGGCGCAATGGCTCTGCCCTGCCGCTGTCGGCCCCGCCCTCCGCCCGCTCAGGGTAGGCTGCGGCGCGGGGGAAGGAGACGCTGCCCTTCCGCGGCCATGGCGCGCGGCGGGGGGAGAGGGCGCCGAGCG